CATAAGCAAGGTGTTCTTAAATAAGCATGGCTGTCTTTATCTCCTTCCCAAATGAAATGAAAATGTTATGCATCTGATGATTTTTTTGAGCACATCATTAGTTGTAGTTATTTGTGCAGTTATGACTGATATCGCTAGTAACTGAGAATGTTAATATAGCATCATACAGGGTTTGAGAGAGAACTCTGAAACTAGGCGGCACAGCCAACAGAGATAAATGTTCCAAGATTCATGTCAACAGAATTTTATATACTTAAAAAAAATGTCAGGCAAAATTTAAAAAGCCAGTTCAGTTATGTACAACTCATCATTTCTTGATCAGCAAGCACAACTCTAGCTGTTGTTTTTGAGCATGGAAGTAGGAACAAAACATGGCCTACTGGACAGTAAACATATGTTGCATTATTAAGCATGAATAATAATTATGTCTATTGCTGTATGTTTTGTGTCCTGCGTCTGTAATCCTGTTGTCCAGGCTTGATTAAACAAGTAATCTTAGAAAGCATGCTGGACACCCAAACAATATAACCATATACCTTATTTGTCATATTAAAAAGAAAAGAATACACAACTGATAAAACGAGAGACCATTTTTAACACAAAGGACACCAAAATCATATGTCAGATGCATGTCAGCTATTTGGACCAAAATTTTCCAAAAATAATGTGCAAGTACAAAAGTATGCTGTTTTTGTTGCGTACCATAGCAGTATAGTGGGAGTTTATAATTAATTTTCATATAACATGAACATGGACAGCACAGCCAGTTGAGCATCTGTTGACCTAGGATAAGGGGTCTCGTGTAATCCACTGTGTGGACATGTGGCTGCAGCAGCACCCTGACATAGCCGCTGTGTTCAAGTGTTACAGGAGGCCTATATGTCCACATGGTCTGGGGGCTTAACCATTATATGTTATTGGCGCTTTTACAAGTGTAGTCATTGGAGCGCAGACAGCCATGGAAAATAACATCGCTCAATAAATTTCCAAGTTTAGATCTTCTTATATGATTAAAGTTGTTCTGTTGTGCTGCCCTTGAGGTAGCTGTATTCTAATAGCTATACATTATTAGATAGGCTGTAATCTTTCTAGTACAAGCTAAACAGATGCTGCCTTTGGTTTCTCCTACCCTGCCTTCATGCAAACTGTTGTTAAAATTTTGTTCCCCCCCCTCCCGCTTACTTTTCTCTTTACCCCCCTCCAGCTCTCTCCAGCCCGCCTTTTATAAACTTACTTATACATAACACAGTGCTTGGCTAACCCTTTGTCTAGTCTTGCCAGTTTGGAGGGTTTAGATGGTAACAGATTTGCAGCTCTGCCTGCGCAGCATGGGGTATGGCTTCAACCAGCTATACTGAGGATTAGAAATGAGGGGGGAAAAGTTGGTATAAAATAGCTCAGTAATTATTTATATATGTTGATAAAGACGAAAAAGACAGTTTTCAGTTTGCTTTGTTCTTAATTGCCATACAGTAGTATATTTAAATGGCAGTACATTTTGTGTGGAACAATTACATTTTTATATTTATAAACTTATTAGGAATGAACAGTTTTGGAAACAGCATTCCATTTTGTATGTAGTCATCAAAAAAGAGCTTTTCTTGGAGCTAAAAGAATCTTATTTGTGGACTCATAAGTCTTTAGGACCTCTTGGGGTCAAGTCAGGACAGGCTTTACTGGAAAAGAGCAGCTTTTTGACCATATGAGTTCCATAATTCTGTTATTATGACTTCTGTTTTATTAGTTCACAATTTGTTGGGTTTATCTATAAAATACAAGATGTCATCAAGGTTGCACTCTCCAATAATCCAGCATCATTATACAACAATACAACACAGAACAAAGCAGTAATTATGTTCTCTGTCTAAAGAGGGCCCCCCTTTCACTGCCTTTTCGTTTATCCTTAAATTATCCTTAAACCCTTTCCCATATTAAGACACAGCCCATCTGTGCAGATCCTTTTCTAGAAACCACTGTGGTTTTGAAGGGTAAAATGCTGTATTGCAATTAAAATAAATTCAAATAGGGTATTAAAAGGACTGTAGTATCAATTCACTTATCCTTAAGAACGTAATGCTGGGTGGTGTGCAAACCATACACGCATGTATATGCTCATCATGCATCACCAAACATGATTTTAACAACTGTGTCTTTTTCTATCAGGATCTGCTGTACACACAACAGAGCAACCAAATATAGAGTCGGTTGTTGTCGCTGCTGGACTAGGTGCTTTGGAGGAATCTGTCCAACTATCTGCCAAGGAACAGAAGCCTACAAAAAAGAGCAGCTCCTCTGGCCTACTGTCTCATAAAGCAGGGGAGGAATCGGACAGCGACTTTGAGTCTGACCCTCCTTCACCCAAAAGCAGTGAAGATGAGGAGGTGGAGGAGGATGAAGGCCTTAATAGTGAGCATGAAGACACTGAGCCAGAGAACCTGGGCCAGAGGCCTCTGCTCATGGACTCTGAGGAAGAGGTTGAGGAAGAGGAGGACAAACATAGCTCGGACTCAGACTGTGACCAGAGGAAAGTGAAAGCCTGTGCAGGGAGACTGCTGGATGAAAAATCTTCAGCGTTTGCACAGGGAAGTGCCAGAGGTGAATCTGGAACCAGTCTGATCACCCCTCCTGATTCACCCAGCGCCGCCATGCCTAGCGCAAGTGAAGTGGACGTATTTGGCGCCGTGCCATTCGTTGGCAGTGGTCAGCCTGGAGAGTCACCACCAGAGAGTGTAGATGTTTTTGCCAAGGCCCCTTTTAGGCAGGCAAGCCAGGAAAACACCATGGAGGAGTTTGATGTTTTCACCAAAGCTCCCTTCAACAGGAACCTCTCCAAGTCCAGCAGGAGTGGCGATGCTACCAGCGGCCAGACACCACCCGTCTCCCCGGCCAGTGTAGACGTGTTTGGCTTCTCGCCCTTCCAGCCCAGCCACGTGGAACCGACCTCCAGAAGCCAGGAAGACATCTTTGGCCATGTGCCTTTTGAAGAGGCACAAAGCCCCCAGCAGCAGAAGCTGAAGCAACGTAGCCTCCAGAAGCTCTCCTCACGGCAGAGACGCACAAAGCAGGAGGCCAGTAGTGGGAATGGAAAGCGGCACCATGGTACCCCAACTAGTGGTAGGAAGAGCAACAAGCCCAGCTTCCGTACTCCTGAGCGGGTTCGACGGCACAAGAAGGTGGGCAGAAGAGATTCGCAGAGTAGCAATGAGTTTCTCAGTGCCTCCAAAGAGAACATCAGCATCTCAATGGGAGAAGTTAAAGAGAAGGGAACGGCTTTGCCTTCTGAAGAGGCCTTGTTGGACCCCTTTGGCGCCAAGCCTTTCCATCCGCAAGACGGCGTTCGGCATGGTCAGCACCCGGGCCTGGGGGACAACAAAAGTGACAACACGGCCAATGGCAGATCCCGGACTGGCTCCCTACATGCCACGTTTGATGGGAACAAAATGGATGACTTTGGGGCTGTGCCCTTCACTGAACTGGTGATCCATGGTGGGTCTCAGCAGACCCCTCAAATGGATCTTGACCCCTTCGGAGCTGCACCTTTTCCCTCAAAGCAGTGAATGTCTCGTCTTCCGGCACACACAGAGGGCACTCACGCAAATGTTGCTGCTTTATGCAAAGTCAAAGCGACCTTTTGAAATTTACCAGATGGCAGCTTTGTGGTGTGATCTCAGTGTGTGTCCAAACAGATCATGGACCTTTGATTTAGTTGAAAACCAACTTTTACAGCTTTTAAACTATTTTAATACCTAACTTGACTTCGGAGTAATGTTTTTTTCCCTGAACTTGACTTGAACCTGTGTATGGATGTTTTTTAAGACTTTTTATGCATTACCTAGTCTGTACCAGATCGCTGAGAAGCCTTTTATGCTGCATCACAATGTGCTCTGAGAAAACATTAGTGAAAAGCTGACAATATGCTATCCTTTGTTTTTATTAGATTTAGTACACTGCTAAATCTGGGATCTAAGTGCGTGCTCAATCATGGACCGCAAGGTTGTAAGTGGTCCTTGTGTAGGTTGTTGCTTCCTGCATGATCTACTAGATAGGTCAGTTTCACACCATATTGCCTTATATGGGTATGCTCCACCCTGCTTTACTGTACCTCAAATACACAAATGGCTATTGTGGCGCATTTGTGTCAACAGAATCATTTCAGCGTAGGCCTTCTCCATTCTTATTTTATGTACCATTTTCTATGCATAATTCAACATTTTAAGTGCATTCGGTTCATAGAGATTTTATTCTTGTGGCCATCGTTTTTCTCCCAAAATACTAAAGTAAAAAGGGATTCACTTAAGACCATATTTGAGTTGGTATGTCCCATGGAACAGAAAGTCAAAAACGTTTTGTATGACTCCTGGTGCTGCAAGATATCTCTCCCAAGCTGACACGAAACTCATACTAAGCCCCGTAACCAAAACATCAGTGCAGATATGCTATTTCTGATGTGCGTGTGTACATAAACTCTTAATAAACCTACAACCATGAACAGCTAGCCCTCGTCGAAAAGGGAAAGGACTTAACGAATGTACCACCTTCAGTTTAAGGCCTTGAAAAGTAAGGCATCATAAGGGGAGACTAACAACTGGAAATCAGGAGAAAAGGGTGATTTACAGTATATATGGGATAATGTTGAGTCTTACAGCACTTGGCACACCATCTTTTGACTAAAGCAACTTTTTTTTTTTTTGAAGCTTCTTTTAGCAGCTGAACTTTTAACATTGCAATACTTACTGTCTTTATTCTTTTCTCTTATTTGTTTGATTTGTCGTGCTACACTGCTCTCTAACAATGCAATAAACTATTGAATTTCTTTTTTGAATCGTCCCTTGGTTTAATATTGTTAATGGTTTAAAAAACAAATTTCTTCTCTTTGAGTTCATATCTTTAGAAATTAGTGAATGAAAAATCGTTCTTGTGTGTTAAATCCTAAGTACTAAATCACATACAGCTTTCAATTTGACAAAATAGGGAAAAAAAAACACCTCTTGAAACAAGTGTTGACAGAATATAAAATGATTTTATGTAAAGTGGCAGTAGTTATTTGAGATGAACCTGACATAGTGGTCTCAACATTTACATTTACATTGAAAATAAATTAAAATATTCAGTGCTATTCAGGATTAAATAATAGCCAGAAATATGAAAATGACATTGTACTTGTGCAGAAAATATGAAAGAAAATGTCAATTTTGGGTACATTTAAAAAACTGCAGTAAATAGCATCTATGAACATATATGAAGGCAGACAGCACAGTAGAGTCAAAAATTACTATTTTGAGGTCCTAGTGTCTATAGCTTAACAAATTCTCAAAGACAAAGCAGACCACAATCATATTCTTAGTATCACAAGTACTTTAGTGCTCCAGTGAACTTTATGTAACAGACATTTTGCATTGCACTTTGTGATCTACAAAAAAAAAAGTCTGCGCTAAACTATTTTATGCAAACTATAATGGACATTATATTGAAAGCAAGGGTTACAAACTACATAACAATAATACTAATTACACATTAAAAAGTTATAATAGAAAATGTATACTGTTTTTGTGGGTGTAGCCTTATGTTTGTATTCAAAAGTCTCTTGTTGCAGTATCAAAATCTTTGGTACATCTGGCATAGCAATGAATGAAATCCGAATACCATCATGTAGTCTGTGTACAGGAAGCCGCATTTGAAATTTAAACGTTAAATGTTAATGTATAAACATTTTCATGCTGTTCATATTTCCCCTTCATTCCACCTGGACAAGCAAAAATTGGGTGGAACAGTAAATTAATATACAATACCTTAAACTAAATGTGAACACCAAAAAAAACCCACAGTCAAGAGTGATTCATAAAGTCAAAAAGGAAGAAAAAAAAAATCTAAACATCATTGCTCAGTGAGAATGAGCTGCCATGCAAATCTTTAATTTACTCATTGCTGAGAAATGACATTCTATGCTCTAGTTTCTCAGACACTGGCCAAACACTGACAACCGTAAGTCTGAGGTGCCAACAGCTGTAAATGGCTTTCTAAAGCACTCATGACTTGTGGGAACACAAATAAGATTCCAATCTGTGAAAGTCCCTCCAGCTTTTAAATAACTAGCAGGAAACCTTTGAGTCATTCCTATAAGAGTTCCTCATCCCCCCACCCCCAACACTGCAGTGTCTTATGATGCGCCTTAACACTAAAGCATTTCAAATTAAATGACTAGGCACTTCTACAATATTTACAACAACTCTGATAATGGCTAGCAAGAGAATCATTTATGATGTAGGTAACTCAATTTGGGTTTCACTATGGGCTTCGATAGTGCAGAAATCAGCCTGCAGTCATGATTAGTGTTAGCAGTGGACTGAATGTGGGGCTTACCTGAAATGCACAGTGAAGGACAATTACTGGGCAAGAAAATCTGTGCATTAAATGAGGCTCACTTGTGTGTTAGAAGGGAATCATCCTATTGTAGTTCCACTGCCTTTTCAAAGCTGATTCTTCAGGCACACCCAAGAATCCCTAAGCATGTAGAGGTGAGTCAGGACAGGGGTATGTGTGTCGATAATTAGTGATGAATAGTGCAGACTGATGCCACCAGTAGAACAGGAGCACCACCAGAACGTGCCAGACCTGGTGGCTGGAGCCCACGTAGTTCAGCTGACCTTTGCGTAAAAAGAACACTGGAGCGTTAATTAAGTTGGCTTATGTGTAAAGACAGTAAATTCTCCTGTGCCCTGTGCAATTTTACCTGGGAAGTAGCGCTCTGGAACCTTGGAAACATAAAAGACAAAGGCAGCTGAAGCGAAGAAGTACATTATCAGCACTCTGGGAACAAAGTCCTGAAAAATACAAAACAACAAATAAGCGCAAAATGTACCTATGTAGGAACAACTAATCTTCAAATGAAAAGGTTACTGAAGGCCCTCATGGTAAAACTCCATCTTCCCTGGGAAATACTGCACAACACAGGAAAAGCTCCATATAACTCGTAGGCCACTTTGAATGTTGTTGAGTGTTGAGTGGTCTTAAGAAATATTCATTATCTCATCCAGTAAGCATGCGTAATCTTTATTTGTTACCTTGAGTTTTGAACCAATATGATTATTTTCATGTAATTTTATCTGACTCAGATATTTTACTTCTAATTTCAATAGACAGCTTCTTTGAGCTAGCAACTACACGCAGTCACATGGCCAGTAGCAATCTGGGCTGGGTTTCCTGAAAAGCAACTTAATACAAAGATGTTTCTTAAATGGTAGAGCGACCATCATACGGAATACTATCTCTATCAGTTAAGATGATCTTAACAATAACATGCTTTTGGAAACTGGGCCCTGTACAATTTGGGCTGTTTGTTTGTTTCTTTCTTTCTTTCAATCACTCACTCACTCACTCACACAGTCAATAACCTTTTATAGTGAAATTTTATAGTTCCATATTTATCGAATAATCAACTACAAATTACTACAATGAATATTTATTTATTAGTTTATTTATTAGCAATTATTTAGACGGTAGGCATCAAGTGTGCTGTCATGGCAAAACCTTACAAATAAGCCAATTCTTCAGGGGGGGGAGAAAGGTAATTATTGAAATTACCTATTGTATTATTTTATTTATAAAGCAGACACTATTTACAGTTTTACTGCATGTTCAATTTTCGTGTGTTCTTGACACTTTTTAGCATTGCACACATGGTATGTTGTGGTAGTGAAAGGCCTAACATCACATTTACAGTTGCCCAGTATGTAATATAGTGTTGGCAGACGTTCCACCTTCTTTGAATCATCTTTACACATTTCAGAGGGCAGCTACATGGAAAATTTTTTACTGCTTTTTTTTTCCACGTTGCATGCTCCTTCACCTCAGTACCCAGTGTGCGACTGATACACATCATCATCATATTCGGTAAAACAGAACAACATACAAACTTATAAAAAGACTCGTTATCTACATGGTCCAAACTTTGTTTTACAGAAATATCTACAGCTTTTTCTATAAAAATAAATAAGTGAATACATATATGACAAAATAAATGTGATTAGTACGCTAACATGTCAACTAGTCGACTTAAGGAAAACAGCCCTAGCCTGAATACATAAAATGCTGAAAAGTTTTAGCAATGGTTCCTAGTTAAAATGTGTGATATAAATGAGGTTGTTCATAACTTTTTCAATTATTAAAATGAATAATATTTCTTAAATGGAAAAAAAAGACTAGGCACAGGTGGACTTGAAGCCCAGTTAATTTTTTTTGCTCTTTATTTTCTCTTTTCCTTCTTTTTATTTAAACAAAAACCTTCTAAGACTCACTTATGTTAAACAGAAAAAATATCTTTTAATGAAATGAGTTATCACTATAAAACACACACATCGTGATATCGGTCTTTGCAATACTGCTATTTGCGCCTTTAACCAGTTTTTGAATGTTACATTGTGTTTTATGAGCATCCTGACCTATCACAGATGCTTCTGTGGGTCTGGATGAATAAAGGAATTCACTTGATCCAATAAACAAATAATTTTAGTAAAAAAATGATACAGACCAATCTTCAACCATATCATAACAAGGGCGCTTTAATTACGTTGGAGCTGTATCATAATTGCAGTATGTAGCAACATTATCATGATATTAGTAAACTGTTCATATCCAGTCCCAACCAGAATACTGAACCAATGTCTCAATTCCCCTAAGCACCCCCTTTTCACTGCTCGAGCGATCATTAATTCAGTTTGGGAACAGTTTATCTGGGTAAGTTTTTGACCCCCAAATACTGTTCAGCACTAGTAACGAACACAAAACCTGAAACCACCAAACTATGCTGCTGCAATATTTCTGAAGCAGCACAGCTAAGCTAAAGATCAAACAGCCTGAAGCACAGGCTTACCTGTACAATGGCAGAGCTGAAACCTCCACTGAGCCAGATCCAGTGGAAGGTAGGGATGAGGCCGTAGCCAGCTACAGAGCAGAAGATGACCGAACGCAGCTTCTGCCAGTTCTTGGTCAAGTAATGGGGGTGTATCTGGGCAAAGAACACTCCCAGTGTCATGGCCAGGACCGTGACCAAGTACACCTGCCGCCAGTACTGGAAAAAACAGGACCGGAAAAGTGAAGAACAAAATCACATACTGCAAGATCACATGCCTTCATCCCATACAGGTGACACACAAGTGAGAATGAGTTAGGAAATCAAATATAATGAGAGAACACGCAGTACGGTGCAAAATTCTTAATTTTTTTTTAAACAAATCATTCAAAACCATCCATCTCATTTAACTCTTTTGAGCTAGTCTGAAGAACAGAGGTTTGGTTCCAGATTTCTCTTCAGCGCCCCCTAATGAATGAATTTAACAAATCTATGTGATACCAGCTGACACTGTGGACGTAAGCTGAGCGTACGCTGCTGTGCTAATGAACAAACGACTCAAGCTGGCAGTAAATGGGGGCCTGCTCACACAGAGAAGTGTTTCTGACACTGTGGCAGTTGGACACAAAGTCACTGATCACTTTAAACACCCTGCCTTAGCAAATTCCTGCCAAAAATTCTCCGTGCAATTTTAGCCCTTTTTAATATACACACAATCATAACCACTTCCCTAATACAAGTGGAAAGATGTAGGGAAGCAAAACAAAGGCAAGAAAGTCAAGAATTGCGAAACTAAAGTCTGTATATGCCGACTTTACTCTGCTGGACAATAAAATTACAAGGTATAACTGCCATCACTGATTGTGTAAAACTGTCTTATATGCTGTATAAATAGGCTGTAGAGAGGTTATTGTCCTACAGTGTATATCATGACCTTGTTTAGTTTCAGTGCACTGTGCTAGCAAAGCTGTTCAGTTTCTCAGTGTGTTTGCGCAGTACTCAGTGTATTTTGAGACAACTTTATTTGATATTGTTCATAGAGCTGTCTGTAGAGGCATTTCATGTAGCATGGACTGGGCGTTTTCATACAGCATGAGCATATAAATCAAAGAATTTGTCCGTACATGATAGTCTATTCAAACTTACAGCGTGAGTCACAAAAGAACAGGATTTCTAAAATCTCACAATGTATGTCTGGCTTTAGGGGACATTCAAATACAACTCAACCAGCCAAACCACTCGATCTAAGGGTGTTTTCACACCAGAGCTGTTTTTCTAAACCCAGGCCCACTTTCTCTGCGAGTTCAGTATGTTTGGTCAAGTATGACAGCTGTTTTCAAGCCCAGAACCATTCTCTGGTCCTCCTTAGGTTGGTGGTCTGACATTCTCTTCCAACGGACTCTGGTTCAGTCCGCTGCGCGTGTGAAAGCTGTCTGCTCCGAGTGCCACGTGTGGATGTTGAATAATGAGGAGACAGAGCTGAACATGTGGTTGTTTAGAAGTAATACATTAGCATGGCTCACACAGGCCAAAACTACATGGCAGCTAAAGTTCCTGAAAATGTACACTAAAACTGGGCACAAACACACACACGCACACACACACACACACACGCACACACACACATGCACACACTGACACATCAATAAATGTTCGTACCAATTTCACCAAGACAAACTTCTAGTACATGCAAAGCCCATAAAGGGATTCTGAGTCTAAGTCTGAAAGTGTCCTACACCATTGCCTAAATAAACTTCCTTGTGTGCTGGATGGAGAAAATGAGTGTGAGAAGAAGCGAGTGAGTGAGAGAGAGAAAGAAAGAAAACAGTCTCTCTTTCTCTTGGGGGACTTGGCTGATTGAGTAGTCACCCAAAAAGCAAAGCTAAACACTTGGCAGGGGGAGAGTGGAGATGGCTCACCCACGTGTGAATGTCATATGGTGGGGAACAGGAGTGACGGAGTGGGTCCACGAACGCGGCCATCTGCTTTGGGCTGGAGCAGATTTCCACCGCATTCTGGGGCACAATAAGCCAGCACTTCCAATATGTGGAGGGGTGGGGGAGGAGGGAGGCAGTGCGCAAAACGACATGGCCAATCGCAGTGGCGCACCGCAAAGAGCAAGTGGGAGTTGGGGGACAAGAGCTAGCCGCCTGCATCGGATGTTCCAGATCCAAGTTTCTCTAAAAGCTCTGCTCGTCGCTTGCTTGAGACAAAGAAGACTCTGTTCTCAGCCAAATATGTTGAGTCAAGCAGTCAAGAGAGAGGATGTTATGCAGCTAGCTTTGTACCAATATTACACTATACGACAAATGTTGAAAGGACATTAACTTACTGTTGTGTGTAGTCTAGCTTTGAGAAACAGTTAAAAGTTCATTTCACCACCTATAAGCTCCATGTACAGCATCACGCACAAGTGTTTTCTGCTGCAAAAGGTGAACTGTTGCACAGGTAGCATATGCCCACAACAAAAGCAGGACGACCATCTGCTGTTAGACCGCTATGGGACGACGCTCCTCAGGCCAACTAATTAATCTACCCCGTCTAAATCTCACCCCACACACATACACACACATACACATGCCACAGGCATGCTGTAAACACTCATCTTTTCATGTCAATCACATGGGACAGTTTACTTCCGCTTGAATTGGAATTTGCCTAAATGCTGAATTTGCAAGCTTCAATCTCACCCTTGCTAAGAGGTGTTCAGTCTGTGCAGAGCTGCTGAGTGCAGCTTACTAAACCAATATCAGCCCTTACCAAGCCACAAGAAACTGAAGACAAAAGTGATGTTATGATGCCCTAAAACGAGTGTAGTTGATCCGGCCACTTAATGCAACTCTTATCTGTATTGTAATTCTGATAAGATTCAACCACATGCATTTGCACATGGTAGTCAGACACGGCTCCAGTTAGCTAGATTGAAATCTAATTGTTATGTATCACATAATATGTAAACCTGTTTGTAGTGCAACAACCAACTGCCTGTGTTGTTCCCTCACTTTTTCCTGTTCTATGCAAAATATGGTTGCTGCCTAGAAAAATCATACTTTTGCACTAGAAGCCTGCACAGGCATGAAATTGAAGCCCCTGCTTTCACACACTAACAGAGATGGATTATCGCAGACACTATTTTACATCACTTTGCTTTGTTACAAAGCGCTTGATAGTCAAAAAAATAACGAAAAAAACCTCTTCACACATCTGAAAGCTGAGTTTTTGCTGTAAGCAACACTAACATAACTGGTACGAAGATGTACTCTAACATCAACATTTGTTTCTGGCTGGTAGCTACTGTGAAACATCTGAATCCATGGTAAATGATAGGTCCCTGGCGAACAGTTAGTATGACTGGCTTTGCTGAACTAGTCTAGTATATGTATTTGTATGTACTGTACTAGTGCATATCGCTGCTGTCTGACGTTTGTGGCATAGTTTGAAAATGCCTGATGACCTTTACATTATGTGTAAATTTCATGAAGAATGGACCAAAAGAAACAGGCCAAAATTACTTGCCAAAAAGTCTGGTTCCAGTGACTTCTACTGTAAAGTTATCATTTTGGAGATACAAGATACAGCAATATACTAGTACATATGTGTGAGAGAGATGAGAGAGAAAGTTAAGCAGGCATAATCTTTTAAAATCCCATATTAGATAGCAAATCCAAGTCAATCCAATCCTCATATTTCATTAATCCAATATCTTGTTGGGCCCTTTCAGGCTCCTGTCAGGTAGTAGACGTCTATCCCTGATCCTGGAGTCCTGCGTATTTTAGTGGTTTCCTTGGTCTAAGCACACCTGACCCAAGTAATCAGTTAAATAATTCATGTTCCCCTCTACTGAAGTTGGTGTGTTGGAGCTGAAAAACACTAAACTGGTTTAGGAACAAAGGCAAAGTACAGATTAACCAAACTGACTGACACTTGAATTAAGCTAAATAGCCCAGTGCACAGGCTGGCAAAGTAGGCTACTGAACTTGAGCTTAGCAATGAAGCCCAAAATCAAACATCAGCAGTCCCTTACCCATTTGTAGAACCAGGGGATGGGATAGGAGTAACAAGAACACACATCTGGGGACTACTTATTTAAGATCTGGCAATGGATTGCGGCAAAATCTACCAAAAACAAGGGTACGTCTCCCCAAATTCCTGTAGTCTGTGCTCTTTTAACCTTCCGAGAACAAGTGGATAACACAAGCAACACAAGTCAGGTAGCAAACACAATCACTGGCTACTGAAATGTTTTTCACTTGCAAGGCATAATGTTTATTTTTACCCCATATAATTCATTCTCAGAATACGCAAAACACACAAACAATACTTTTCAGCCATGCTAACTTACTTTACATGCCTGGAGTAACGACAGACCTGTTGTCTGTGCGAACCCCACTGCCCCTACTGTGAGCTCTGAATACACACCTCGCTTATTTGTTTTGAAAGTTTACAGTTTTCCCACCCTAATAAATCCACATTTCCACCCACATTAAGCCAAATATTTCAGATATAATGTATATGGCCCCATGAGATTGTGGCATCGCGTCCCCTAGTATTAGGCTGTCCAAATATATTTACCCTTGTACAATATCTGGATAAAATATGTCTCAGATCACATTCTGAAGTGGTCTGCAGAACTGGATTTAAATGTTTTGGATGTTTTAAATGCGTCTTGGTTGCATTTACCTCTGCATTTTTATGTGGATAATCCCCTCCAGACATAAACTTGATACTCAAGACACAAAAAACAACAAGGTGTAAATTATCTAAAACAAATCTATTTTGGGTGTTACATACGTTATTGCAGTAAAAGGCGTAGAACACCCCCAGAACATAGCATCCCAAGGTTCCAATAGAGATTCCAGCATAGTCCAGGGCCATCCAGCGCCGACTGGTCTTTTCAGAGCGGTGGCAGCAGAACAGGTGATAGCCCACTGAACACAGCATGCACACCTAAGCATATCAAGACTGGTAAAACATGGGTCTTAAACTGGCACTTACCCTCAATACCATGTTGACAGACGAACAAAGAAATTTAACAGGTTAATTTCATGTTTGTAAACAAGCGCCTACCCATTTGCGAATTTCACTTACTGTGAGTAGGGTTCGCCCACAATTCTATGCTTTCTTAAACATAAAATATAAAATCCTTCGGTTACATAAGGTTCAGTCTTTACACTACCTATCTTACCCACAGTTCCATATTCACTGTCATGCCATTTTTTCTTTGAATGTTTTGGCATGACGTTCAAAGTGTATGTTCTGGGAATTAGCAGAGTCTCTGTGCTACCGCCGTATGCTTGAAAGAGTAGCTGCCAAAGTAGGAGGATGCTATTTTCCTTCTTTCTACAACTACGAAAACAGAATGATAGCACTCTAACAACTACAATCTTTAGATTAGCAGACTTCAAAAAGTGCCACAGGACTGTAAAATGCGGAATGTGTTGAGCGTGGAATATTTGTAAAGACAATGTAAACTGCATACTGTGGAAGGGTAATACAAGTAAAAAGGACACACCTGGAAGCAGAAGAGGCCTATAGAGTAGATGACATAGTCCTCCCTGGAGGCTCCAACCATTGGTAGCACAGACACCATGTCATACACTCCCAGTGAGAAGAACAAGAAGAAACCTAGCAGATGGCTCCAAATGTTCACAGTCTCATTGGAAAGGATAAAGAGACTATAAAGAGAACAAGAACATCCGAGTAAGTGACAGAAGACAACGCTATTTTGTAAAATAATTAGAAATGGCACATCAATATCGATGGGTATTGGTATCGGGACATTAACAGCAGAAAGTGCAGAATCGAATATCAAAGGGAAAACAATGATTGAGTGAATCTGATCCAGTCCTGTAACACATCTAACCTGAAATATCATACACACTGAAATATCATTTCTTATCGTGGGGTGGTCAGAGTAGGCTACGTTTAGACGCTCATCTTAAGTGAAGTGCTTCAATTTAAAAATAGCTTGCTTTATGCGTAGCTTAGTAGTTTTTAAAGAAAAAATTTCAGATCAGCATCAGCATCGTAAGCTTTTAGTACTGGTTTTGGAAAAGGAACACTTTCCTAAGGCTACAGAACACATATACAAGCCTTTGATGACAACAAACATAAACCTATGTAGACATTTGTAAAAGCTTTTTCCATCAAGCATCAGTTGTCATAACACTTGCTGAGCTCAAATGAAATCAAAATGGACAAAAGCAGCCTTTATGATAACTGACACTTGGAATAAGCCTTTATAAAGCTAGACGTGTATGTAGATTTATGTCAGTTGTCATAAAAGGCCTACATTAGTGTTATGTGGCCTTACAGATGCAGCCCTTCAGTAAAGTGTTACCTGTTAAGGTTTGGTAATAGTCTGTCAATTCATTAATGGCCAAGGAAATTAATTGTTTTTCACTTATCTCAGGCAAAACATTACTTTTTCCAAAAAGACATACCTAACCTGCACAGTGGCACTCACCTTTTAATACAAAGTCTAGACGTGAGGTATGCTCTGTATCCATCCGTAATGTAAGGGTTTTCCCTCAGAAATCCCGGCACCTGCTCATAGGTGTACAGGCGTATTCCTCTGGGAACAAGAACGGGCCAGTACTGATAACTACCCAGTTCTATGTACTGTGTATTCTTCAGCACCTTGGCTGAAGGCATGGTGGCTTCACTCAGTCTCACTCATAGAGCAGGAGCTAGGAAACACAAATGTCTTAGGATTAGTCACAACAGTGCGGACAGTTGCAATTATGCACCCTGGTTTGCTCAACAAACTAAGCTAGCTAGTTAGCCAGCGTTAGCTGTCTGAGCTTAAATTGGCTTCCTATTCGAATATTCAGTTCCACCTTAAATGTGCAGCAGTTACATTCTGGCTTATTTTATCCAAGTCAGCAACTGTTGGATTTAAGGGGGAACGGAAATTTCGAATAATAAGCTAACATCGTAGTTAGCTGGACAGCGAACTTAATGTTTAAGCTGCTCTGTGAAACGCAGCTAAATGCCGACTGAAAGACATGAGTGAGCATACACTTCAAGCCCGCTAACATTAATGACAGAAAAAAAATTAGCTGAAACCATTTAATAGCAGTGATCCTAATAGCTAGCTAGCTAATCAACAAGTTCCCAGCCCAGCTAAGAATATTTACGCAATGTAACGTTAATGCTAGCTTGAGGCTACTAAACACTGACAAGGTCTTCTAAACTTGAATTTCGGCACAACAATCTGTTTTCTTTTAACATACTTTCAAAAAACAGGCAGATAAAGGAGAGGCTGCGAGTAAACCGTATCCAATTCTTCGGGTTACTCCAGCGCAAAAATAAAAAAACGTCATTCAACGCTAGCTAGACATCTGTAGCTGATTAGCTACATCTCACAGCTCGCTAACTTTAAACTCAGCAGACACATAAGCTAGCTAGCTAGCAACTAGCTAACCTGCTAGCTACTGGGCTTTCTCAGACAGACATGTCACAACATGTTCACTCCGTCACTGACTCGCGTTCACTTACCACTGAATCAACTAATTATTTCTACAAAGCAGTCCATTTGTCTATTTCGACGAGTGAATCATTAACAACAACCGGTCCATGCCCCATCTTGATAGCTAATCTCAGCTAGCTGTAAGCCTGCTGGCTAATTCGCTGACTACAGCTACCAGACAGTGGTAAGTTAGCCTACACTGCCTGAACCGGTCAGGGAAGCGTTTCTACAGAAACAGAGTGAATGTGATTTATCGCCTGTCAGGCCAGAACACAGCACTGTAAACTGTAGCTCTATCTAAAACCCGGCTGGGTTAGGTAACAAAAACCTGTCTGACTCTCTCTTATGGATGGCCACTCCTGCTAGGTAGGAGTATGCAAAAAAAAAATTGGCTTAGCTAAAATAATGACTTATTACCTTAAAATATTGGCTGAATATCTCGAAATAATGGTATATTTTCACAAAATATTGACTTAGTATCTCGAAATAAACACCTCAGAGTATCGATTTAACATTTCAAATTGACTTATTTTCTCAAGATTTTGAGTTACGAAGAAATTGTGGGATACTATGTCATGTTATTTTGACATAAAAAGTCATTATTTTTGAGATATCAAGTCATTATTTCCCAATGTTTTGAGAAAATAGCTAATTCAAACAAGATACTAAATCAGCATTTTGAGGTAGTAATTATTTCAAGATACTAAGACATTATTTAAGATTCTAACATGTATTATTATATATATTTGAGAAAATAAGTCCTTATTAACACAAGTCAAAATTTTTACTGCCACAACAGAGAAGGAGAAAAAAAGTCCTGCTGCTCATATTGTAAAACAACATGAATATACACTTCGTTCACTTTATTTCATCTAATTTTTCATAATATTTAAACTAGTGGAAATTCTGCTGTAGCCTGTTCTTGCACCAATTTACACTCATTAATTTGTTTTTGTAACCTTACTGGTTTTTAACATGTTCAGCTCACCTGCAAAGTGGCTTTTCAATAAATTTGAAAACAAACTTGATTCTGTGAAGGAAAATGTTATCCAGGTCCATAATTTTTCACATAAAAGCTGTATTTAAACATATTGTAAAATGTAAAGAATTGCTCTTTAAACTGATGTGGCAGGAATGAGTAACATAAAATACAGTCTTTTTTAATGTGTGCATGTTCTTTACTATTATTTTAATGCAAACAGTAGTTTGCCATTTCTCTTCTGTTTCGTATGGGTTAAGATTATAACTTAAAATCTTACAGACATGATGAGGTTCTTATCATGTGTGTACATTCAGGTGTTTGTGTGAGAGAAGGATAGACTGTCAGGGCAAGACACTGAAAATGAAATGTTCTTGATTCTCAAAACATTTATCTGACAACTCCCTCCTTAGCTGTTTCTTGTTTCAGGAAGGGATCCTCCGTTTCTTCACTCTAAAGGGCGGCTGCACCTTATGACCTGTAAAATGTGTGTGAGGGATGCTTGGTTTTCACAAGCTACACAACTTGTAAAAAAACAGTGAAGGATGGTGAGAGATCTGAGAGAGTGTCATTTAGAGTCTCCATCTCCATTAGAGGGCGTGAAATCGAGGTTGAGGGCATGTTGACATGAAAATGAATTAAATACAGAATAAATAAAACTTCAAATGAGGACAATCACACATCCAAGGAATTCCCCAGAGTGAGGACATTAAATGGCCCGAGTGGGCAAAGTAAGATATTAATCTCATATCGTACTGTGGAGTTATGAAGCTGACCTGAAAGGGTCCTGACTGAAGTCTTCAATAGGCCTTATTTTTTGCGCCCACGATAGGCTCATTTGGATCAAATCAGAACGCAAGTGTTAGATGTTAACTCTCTGGGATAAGCAGTGGAATTCACAGGCTTTGAAGCAGTGGCATTAAAATAAAGAAAAATGAGATTATATAGAAATGTACTGACAAAGGCAACTAAAAGACAATTACTTCATTCCTTTAACTGTTATTGTTTTAGACTAAGTAATTCTGCTGCTGCCCTCTCAGTTATTCAGATAAAACCTAATATCAAAAGAAACTACATACAGTTCATAGAATTTGCTGCTTCTGCAGTGAAAAGCAGAGCTCGTCACAGCTCAGAGAAACAGTGAGAATGAGGATAACAAGCAGGCAGAGCTCATACAACCACAGAGTGCAAAATCATTGAAGGAGAAATGTTAAAAAAATCTGCATCATTAAATTATACTGTAAACAATCTCCTTAGAGTGGTTTGAAGTAAAATGCTCTGTTCTCTAGAAACTCGCTGTGTCAAACAACAGTGGTGATGGGAACCAGACATCTAAAGAGTTCAATGCCTCTAAAATCTCACAGAAAGGTAACACTAAATGGCTACAAGTCAGGTTAAACTGCATGGTGCCTGACATCTTGCTTTATGATAGTTTTGTGACGAGGTTCTGGCCTACAACCCAAAAAATACCCAAATGTTACATATAAAAACTTGTATAAAAAGAAGTTCAATGGATACTGGATAGTGAAAAAAAAAAATGAGTTGTAGATGTCATGACCCCTGGTTCCTGTCGCCACCACTGTAAAGAAATCTGATTTGGTAAATTTCTCTACAGTGAACCATTTCACATCAAACCTCTCTGAATGACTTTGTTTGCATCTAAATGGATAAATTATGTAGAAATATTTAACAAAGTGTTGATTAACTGTTAAATAAAGATAATTAAATGCTCCTTATTGCTGGTAATTAATCAACATTAACAGTTCTTGCTAACTTCTGCCAGGAGTCCATCCCCTCCCTTCAGTGCCTTCCATGTACACTAACATTAACTGTTCAAATGTTTGGAATCACTGTTTTCCATATAAAACCAATTCCATTTAAGATAAATGTATAAAATGATAAAATTCAGTTTGCTAATCTTATAAATTTGTGAAAAAGTAGTAGATAGCTGTAAAAACAAAAAAAGAAGAAAGGTTAAATGTGTACAGAATGATCAGTGGAGCTGTAGATGACTGATTAGGTAGATATAGTGACAAAAACTATTGTAAATAGAAATTTCAGTGCAGAATTTACAATATATAAATCCATGTAATTACATGTAATAAGATGTAACTAACTTGTGGTGTCCAGTTTAAAAGATTTAAATCAACATTGTATAAGTAGTTATTGTTATATATGAAATAACACAAATTATTCATAAAACCAGTAGTTCCAAACTTCTGAATGGTAGTCTCTAAAGTCCCTCCCTCAAAAGACATGCATGCACACAATAACAGAAAGTCCCAGAGTTCCAGCAGGAGCAAGCATCATGCTTTTACAAGCTACATCCAAGGGAATGGCACTCAGGGCTAAACACAGATTGTGTGACACTTACGATAACAAATTACACCAAAACTCACCAAGCAAAATAATTACCTGTTAAGCAGAAACAAAGCTAGCTTGGCATCAGTTTTCAAGCCCTTCAGATCTCTTCGTCACACTGATGTTCATTTCTCTTCCCTTTTTCTTGGTCCTTCTCTTGCACAGTTCTATAAAAACAGAACCAGACCTTTTGGTCAAATATCAGCCTTCTCTGCCTTTGCTTCCACAACATACATTAATAACTCCACTGTAATAATGTCCTACTGAGTAAGTGCTTTGCCTCCTAAAGACATATAGCCTACCTTTAGCAGTTTAACATAAGTCCTAAAAGAACTATATTTTGTACCTTTTTCATGCCCTTATGAAAAACAGAACAGAAAAAAGCAGTCTCTATCTGACATCCAACCATTGCTCCAATCTAAATCTCCAGACTTCGGTCCCATAGCATCTGGTCTCATGAACTATGTTCTTCAGACTGATGGAGCTATATAGAACTTTTTTGAAAATGGTGTCAAGCTTGTAACAATAGAAGAAGCCTTTTGGGTGCTTTCATAGAACCGTCTATAGCACATTGATACAAATGTTCCATCATTCCGAAGAACCCTTTCATGATGCAAAAAACACTTTAATCATGAAAAGGGTTCTTTGAGTGTTCATGTTGGCATCTGGATAGATGGGGTCTGTAGCATTCTAAGAGCTCGCGACACTAACGCACAAGAAAATAAAATTCTGAATAGAGGCCCCCTGGAGCACATCCTCAGTTGAGGACTGAAGGTCTTGGGAGAGGGATGCAATCGCTGGCATCATGACAAGGCACTTAAATGGCAAACAAATGCCATCAGCAATAGAACCACTTGGAGCAAGCCGCCCCACCCAGTAGACCATCACTTCCATCAAGGCACAAACAAAATGTCATGTGAGGTCTTTGATACTGCATGGGATTGGCATCTGAAGGTTAACATTGAGATACCGGTGGGAAAGTTCCTAAATTCATTTCAGTGGTCAGACATGGTCCTGTCAGAAACAGTAAGGCAGGTGGTCATGGTGAAGCTGGCTATTCTCAGAGGAAGAGAGCCAAGTACAATGATCTGGTAGACAAAGACAGATTTCATTGCCTGTCATGAGTTTTTTTACCTGATCAGAAAATTAATAGAGGGTATAAAAGGTTAGTGATTTTTAGTGATTTTTATTTAATCAAAAATACATGTTTAATGCACAAGAATATGAATGACAAAATGGGACTTTACAGTATATTTTACTTGAAGTATTTCAATACTTCATCTAATGCAAGTATTTTCAGATTTTAAGGGAATATGTGGATGCTAGACTTTTGCATATAACACAGTAATTAAATCAAGTTCTTTGTATTTTTACTTAAGAAGAGGATTTGTGTACATTTTCCACTACTGTACTTTGCCATGCTTTTCTTCAGTAAACACTCTAGGGACTTGATGACAGATATGTCTTTGCCTGGAAATATGTTACAAACAGATTTCAATCAGAAATGCATTTTGACCTGCCTATTTACTGTAAGGTAGTAAAATATAGTAGCAGCTCACAAGTGTAGAATCACCTCTGTTTTGTGCAATCGCAAAGCCCTGAACTGAGAGGCTATTGTCAACACTATTGAACTATAGGCTATTGTCCAGAAACATCTCAGGTGTAAGTTTCTAATGATTCTCCTCAGGGCCAGAATCACACTTAGTCTTCTTCAGCTTTTACACCCGAGATAATTGCCTTCTCGAGTGAGAGTGTGTTCTTCATTAACACTCCTAATTCACCTTTCAGCACATTGGTCTTCAACAGGCTGTCAAACGCTCTGCCAAGACAATTTGCCTAACTCAGGCATCCCCACCATAGCAGCTAAGGAGTGCTATCACAATTTTCCTTCCAGTGTCTTTGGCCTGACAAACAGTCTAGTACTAAATCTGGCAGTTTTCAGGCATGAAAAGTCTTGGGCCTGTATTCAC